TATCCGAAGATCTTGGAACTGGCTTATATGGTTGCTTCGATCTCAAATCAATGTTGTAAGTTGTTGAATAATCGCGAATCGAGATATTTCATATATTGTTTAAATTATTAGAAAAACATTGCTCTTCTCAATTCAATTCAATTTAAATTGAAATTTTTCTTAAATATTCTATAAAACATTTTGAGAAGAAAGAATATTAAAAAATATTTATTTCGAGTTTCTTAAAGGCAAAACGTTTCAAAAGAAATTTAGTAGAACACTATACCGAATGCTTATGTATTAAGCTCATATTTCATTCAAATATTATTCCAAGGAATAACACGCATGCCGGGACATTAAAGCAAAGATAATTTTCAAAGAATACCTCTGTCGTCTCTCGTTTTACGTGCATAGACTATAACTTTACATTTATGAATAAAGGTCACAGAATGCTGCAGGCCGGGATACTGAACACGTTGTTAACCAGGATGGATCTTCCTTACTCGACGAAATTGTGCTGCACTGCACCGCCGAACATACCCCTTGAGGGAGAGGAATATCCGTGGGAAATCATGCTTTTGATAATGAAACTCTTGTGGAGCCTCATGAGTTCGGTGTTATCTTTGAAAACGCTACCAGAACATCTGAAGGATCTTCCATCGCCCAAGAAATGCGCTATGTGGTACCATTTGATAGCACGCTTTAATCAATTAGCAATTAAAAATTTAAAGACAATGTGATAGAAAAATAATCATAGAATAAATTTCATTTAGTTTTGTTATACAGATACATTATTCTCTCTTTTTTTTTTTAATTTATAAGATATTATTTTACTATGATTTTATTTATGTATTTATTATGTAACCTCCTCTTTAATAGAGATAAGCTATCAAGCATAAAATATACGATTTCTGACGTAGTACAGGGGCTTAAGGTATTCCTTTAAGCGGCAGATACTTCGCGGTCAATACTGCGCAGTCAATTTGAGGATCAGGAACGACATCGCCGCATTGATCCTCGCTGGAATCGTGGCTTTACCATCGTGGGATCTTGTCAGAAGCGGTATCGCGGAAGATATCATCAATCTTTTATCTGCAATTGAATCTGGCACTACTAAAATATGGACAGAAGATGTTAAGTTTTCCGATAGTGATGAGGATTTCTTCTTCAAACAGATTCTATTGATGATCATCGTTTACCTCGCAGATATCGACATTTATGTCTTCGTAAATTATTCGTATCAATTTTATTTTAAAAATTTTAAACAAAAAAATTTTTTTTAATTCAGAAAAAATAGATGTTTTAAATTTGTTATTTTTTAAATATGACTTTTCTAGGGTTAAAGATTCAATCATCTCAAAACATATTTATTTTAAGTAAAACATGTTATTTAAAAATTTTAAAAAACATATATCGACAAATAACTTTTTAATTTTTTAGATAATGGACAAAGCGATGATTATGCCAGTTATTCTTCGAATCATTAAAGTCTGTATGAATAATAAAAAAGATAAAGGATCTTCTCCGTCGCTAATTCTTTTGGAGCGTGCAATGTATATTTTATCACTATTAGCTCCACGAATAGAAAAGGAATTTGTGAAGTGCAAAGGCACTCTTACGTAAAAAAAAAAACATAAAAAAATTAATCGGATTTTAATGTGGAGCCAAATGAAATAAATTTTAATACTTATAGATTACTGATGATGCTCAAGCAAATTTTGAACATGGAATTCAACGAGTATCTTGTGATGATTTTTATAAGATCCATTTGCTCAATAATTCTGCAGGGCAATGTTCTTCTTTTGAAGAATTTCCAAAAACACGGAATGATACCGTTATTAATTAGTAAGAGATATTATAAGTTATTTCGTAGACAAGTAAAAATTGATGTAATCTTTTTACAATGATCTTTGAATTCTTAATAAAAAATATTACTTTCTAATTTCAGAATTATTCAGCAATATAATGAGTTTAGATAAGCTTACGATGAGGAGGCAACGAATTCTAACATTGCTGCTGATCTCCCTAAAAGAGCTTATAGAAAAACAAATGTCTGTTCAACAGATGTGCGAACGACGAAGCGTCGAGCTTATTTTAGAAATATTCGCAAAGTGTCTACATCAAAGAAATGAAGATTTTCAAGTAGATCAGCGGTAACGTTCCTGTTAAACAAATATTTATTAAACATATTTGTTTGTTATAACAATATTTGTTTCACACAAATATTGTTTTGTCGGCTTTTATTATAATTTTCTATATTAATTATTTAATTAATTAATTTGTTATGTTAACTAATAAATTGTATTAACTAATTACCAGTCAATGATTATAAATATTAAGGTTATTATAAAATTTAAGAAATGTACGAATTTAGAAAGAATTTAGATATTGAAATGAAAAATAGAAGCAAATTATAAATAAACATTTTGTCATTTTTCGACAGACTGTTGCTAATAACAGGTGCTTACGTTTGGAAATGCATAGTGCGATATCCAGAGGATCTTCAAATTTTCTTGAACGGCGGTGGATTGTACTCTATGTTGGACATCATTGAGATCGCGAGCTACCCTGTAAAATGTTTGTATCTCGGTGCATTAACTGATATGTGCGATAGCACCTTTTGCGGACCATGTCTCTGCACCTGGAGAGGCGCTGATAAGAAGACAGGTCTGATATCTTTATTTATGAGTATTTGGCGAGAAGAGGAAGACAGGATCGGCATTAAAAGACGCGCCGACGGTTCTACAGCAGGTACAATCTCGCGAATCAAAATGTCGAGCTTCATATACGAAGAAATTTTTTCACAAAATCTACTTTAATTTAACATTTTTTAAATTCTTGAAAATCGTTTAAAATTCTAGACGTAAAAATATTTTCGACAATCGGGAAAGCAGAGAAGCTCTCTTTATTTAAGAAATATCTATCTAAACATTTTTTAATTATTTATGTAAATTACGGAATAAATTTGAACAAAAAGTTAAGCAAATTTTTTTAACTACACGTAATTGAATTTGTTTGTAATTTCAGATCCTGAATTTCTTCAGATGGGCACCAAACAGTGGAGAGATACCTATTGTTTCCAGCTTACGGAAGACGTTTGTCCCACTATAATTGACATGATTGGTTCGGTGCGCTCAAAAATCTTTAGTATTTTAAAAATAATTGAGAGAGACAGCGATAAATATGAAATCGCTCAGAAGCATTATAAGATTCTACTTGAGGAATTGCCAATAAAAGACCAAGTAAGATACATTATCTTTGATCATACCGTTTGCTCAAACATAATAATATTAAATTTTTTATTATCAATTTTTAATATCAGAATCAGTGTGTTCGAATTTTTTTTAGATAACACTATGTTGCGCCGACATGTATCTACGACTAAAACTCGGTCAGATGTGGACGGAGCTTAGCAAATATTTAGAGCAGGTCCACCTCATCCCAGTGAGTACGGATGCGCAACTGATCTGTCACATGGTGCAGTTTCACCATTCGTGGAAAATTACAATTAAGGACCGTCAGAGAAAGTTGGTTGAAATGGCCAAGAACGCAGATGAGATCTTAGAGAAAGACGAGTTCGCGAAGATACGCGATTCCAAGTTAGCACCGACTCTGGAAGCGTTGGACGATATAGAGCGCATCCGTCGTACGACTGACAGATCGTACATGTTACGGAAGAAAGCTCGACAGAGGCAACAAGTGCGCGCAACCCTGTCATTCCCCAGAGATGCTGACATCAAGCAATGCCATCGAACGTTTTTGGATAAGACGAATGTCACGGTAAAATCAAGGGATTTAAAGAAAGAGAGAGAGAAAGAGAGAGAACTTCTAATTTGGAGTTTTGTTTGAATTTTAATTGCATTTAAATTTTATTATTTTTAACTCGAACGTTTCGGCTCCATTTACTATCATCAATGACGAAAAAGACAAAGTATGAGAGATCATGTATTTAATATCATAAGTTATGTTATTAGTTGAACTTTTAACCCGCTAAATATTATATTCTTTAATTAACTGCACGTTTCTTACCGCGCCGACTCCAATATTTTTTAATACTTATTTTAGCTATCGGGCTATCTCTTTATGTTTTTTATTTTTATTTGAAGGCTATACTCTCAGACTCTTTCATATTTTAATTTTATAAATTTCTAAATTTTTAAAAAAGAATTTATAATTTTTTTAGGCAATTTTTGGACAACATCACTTGGTCGATTTACACGTTCCGTATTTAAAGGATTTTCAGAACGATTTTACGGAGATATCTCCAATATCACCAATATTACCCTTCGATTCATCTCGCAAAGTTCTAAAGTCCTTCGCTCCAAATTATCACGAATTCCTTGTTCTATGATCGCTGATTCTATGAACGCATAGACAGTTACATGATCGAAAGTCTCAATCTGTAATCTATGCGTTGCTTAAGTCATCAAATAATGATTTAATAAATATATCAAGTTAATATATGAAAAATTCAATTGCAATAAAATATCTTCTTATGATGATGATATTATCTTGCTTCGATATAATAGTTGTCTTCCTTATCGACAGAGAAAATTTCGCGCCGCGTTACGCGGAATTGTCATTATTTATTTGATACTAATTGATTCAAATCTACACGTGCGTATAAATATGACATATCGAGAGAGATATAAAAGAAAAATTATCTTATGTCATTAATATTTAACTCATTATTAACAACTGTTTTATTTTTTCAATTAATTTTTAATGGCTTTCAATTAATTTTTAATTAATTTAATTTCTTCATTGTTTTTTTATTTCTAAGAACGGTCTTCCATAGACATCACGATCATTATTAAATGGCGTTAATCGAAACAAGTCGATCGTGCGAATTTCACGCTAGCGTTCTGGCGCGTTATCTGACATATAAGAGCGTCTACCTAGATGATTATCTAGATACTCTCGAGGTCGCTTCGGAATGGGCGAGAGAGACTGGCGAGCGCAGCGAGTGACTAGTGAGAGCGAGCATGCCGTTCGCGTCGTAAGCGAGTGCTGTCGCTGCTGCCGCCGCCGCCGCCGTCGTCGTCGTCGTCGTCGTCGTCGTCGCCGTGGTCCGCCGTCGGATGGTACCGGTTTGAAGAGCGAGTCGCGTTTCAGGATCAGCTTTTCGCCGTTCGAGTAGAGACTCTCGCTCGGTCATCGTCAGTGTGTCGCGTGACCTGTAAACTTTTACAAATCTCTTTTGGCTTTTGCCCCGTGTTCGTTCGACAGGCGCGCGTTCTCGTGCAGCAAAATTTACACGGATCGGTCGAAGGAGACGTGCTTTTTCTCGGCGGTGCGCTCTACCGATTTCGTTTTTTCCGGAACATCCTTTTCTTCCCACGAGACGAGAACTCGTTCACGCAACGGCGTGTTCACAACTTCTCTCCCTTCGTTTTCCCATTTTCTTCTCTCGCTCTCTTTCTCTCTTTTTCGTGAGTTCCGAGTTACCCTTTGATTCCCTGTCTTTCCTCTCTATCCGGTTCTCCCTTCACCACCCACACCTTTGTGCGTCTCTCCATCCTTCTACGTTCTTCCGCCGCCGCCGCCGTCGCCGCCGTAAGTGTGTTCGCGCGCGCGCGCGTTCACCGTTTTTCCGTCGCGCTCCGCTTCGTACTTGCTTCGCCTGTGAGTGTCTATCGAGAGAACTCACGACGCTCGCTCGTTGGTAACTTTCGAGCGAAGTCCTCCGTAAAGCGGAAAGACGGGACGGATTAGAAACCTTTGTCGTGTCAAAGTTGACGCAATTATGGCGCGTAAGGAGGAACGATGGTGCTACTTTGATGGTGTAAAAGGACATCGAAGGTCGACGTGGATCTCCCTGCTATTAGTTGTCCTATGCGCTCTCCTGGCTGGATCCTTGGCGGTCGCCGAGCACGGTGAGTGTTGCATCGTGTATACCTGTATGTGTGTATGTGCGCGCGCGCGTTTATACAAATGTCATTTACATATTTGCGTATATATACGCCGCGGCGAGCGCGCACACGGGTACCTTTCGATAACCTGTTGCGTATCACGGAGGATTCTTTTCGAAGCGAGCGGGGAAGGCTCGAGCGAGACGGCCGTCGCGCTCGCTGAAGGAAGAGAAACGGTGCGATGAAGCGAATAAGAGAGAACAGTTAATGTTTAAAACACTTTATATCTTTTCTTTTTTCGAGACGACTATCTAAAATTGAATAAAGCAACATTTACCCTTGTAAAAAAAAATAAAGGTAAAGAAATGTCAGGTATAAAGAATTATCAAACGACACAAATATTTGAACAGATAAAGAATAAGAAAGGAAGAAAAGGAGGTGGCTGAAGAGAGAGAGAGAGAGAGAGAGAGAGAGAGAGAGAGAGAGAGAATGAAAGAAAGAAAGGGAGAGAAAAAATTCAGTCGGGGAAATCCCACGTCTGGTACTCAGGTCTAGACCTTTTTTAACGTCGCTCCCTACAGTGATCCCCACGATGTTCATTGAGGTCGTTCTCATGTTGCATCTGACGCCACTCGGCGTTGAACCTCGCGTTGCATCGCGCCGATGCAACGGGATCGGGAAGACGGGAACGCGTGCGCTTGTCGTTGAAATAAGGTCGCGCTCTCTCGTTCGCGTTCGCGCTCACAGAAAACACCGAGTGATTGTTGCGTTCGAGAATGAGACTGATGTACGGAGTAATTAGAAAATTAACGTAATGCGAAATAAACGAAGGAATAAATGCGAGAGCTTTGCCGAGTCTTAAGGCTATGACACATAAAACAATGTGAGACAAGTTAGACGTAAGCAGTAAGCGATTCGGTCAATCACAGTCTGGATCTACAATAGATTTTTAAGCCTTAAGCCATAAGAAATGGACGAATCACAATCGATTCTTCTCGCATTAGGCTGTAATTCAGTTTCTTACGGCTTAAGATTTAAAACGCCTATTGTAGATCCAGACTAATGAGCTTTCTAAACTAAGTTTTAAATCTTAAATTATAAGACATTAACCAATCACAGTCGAAGAGAAGAATAATCGATTATGATTGGTTAATTTCTTATAGCTTAAGACTTAAGACTTAGGTTATGACTTATTGTAGAAAGTCTATAAAGGACTGTCTACAGTGAAAGTAATAAGTTGTGTAAGGCCCTGCGCACAATAGAAGGAATAAGGAATTAGGAATAAAGAATAAACGATTTCAACCTATCAGAAACCGTGTATTCCGATGTATCCGATTTCTGATAGGTTAAAATCATTTATTCCTTATTCCTTCTACTGTGCGCAGGGCCTAAGTAATAATAAATTGTAAGCCATAAGAAATTGACCAATCATAGAATGTAAGGGAAACAATCGATTTATGATTGGTCAGTTTCTTACATTTTCTTGCTGCTTACTATGCAACGGGAGCTTTTCTCAGCAAGAGATACAAATTGACACAAGTTTAATTATCAGTAAGAAACAAAGCTAGAATTACTCTTGTGTTTATTTGTGCCTTTGCTGGAAAGTTCTCAATATTACTTCCATTGTAAATACTTAATAGAGGCATAAGGCAATAATCATAATACAATAAACACATAATCCAAAATATTAATTTGCTTACTGTTTAAGTTTCTTTTGTGTCGTAGCTTTTAAGAATTACGTATCATCGTGAACAAGCATTATGAATCTCTTTCCCTGCTTTATATAACTATTTTGTTGTGTCACTTATCACGCCCTTTGATTCAATAAGCATTTTTTAAAATTACAAGCGTCACGCGATAATTATTGGTATCGCCATAATTAGCTCGTCGCTAGAATACGTTCGATTCGTTTGTAAAAAACTACATGAATGATAATATCTCCTTATCTCCTTATCGTTCCGGTTAAGTTTACTACTGGTTATGGTAAATTTTCTGAAAAGAATGAGAAAAGAAAAGGAATTTTTGCACCCTGACAATTTTGCGACCTCTTTCATTCGTTGCTGAGGATAACGGTATGAAGAATTCACGAATGACTGCTTGCAGGGTTATCTCGGGGTTACCCTTCGCATACCGTTGACGCGCCTTGATTTCGCGATTGCGAAATCGCTTGCCACTTGTTCGGAGCCGTCGCTCAGTGTGCGCTTTATTCGCCGTGTGTATCTTCAACAGAGAGAATCGCAAGAATTGCGACTGACATTGGAATTGACTAAGCATTGGCTATTGTCGACGTTGCCAGAATCGTTGGTATCATCAGAACGTTGAGGAATGTCAAACTGTTGTATGTTAGTCGTTGTGTTAGAGGCACGAATGCGTTACGCTTTTGTGTAAATTGATGATTTTATTCCAAGTGATTCTTGAGTTGTAGTAAAACTGTTATTAAGGCTCCTGAGTAGTCACCATAGTCATATTGAATCGTGACGTCAGAAGCGAGAAATGATAATGTTAATTTTTATTACAAGCCATTTATAAATAAAGACAATTGGATAAAACAGAATGATAAGATTGCTTTAAAACATTTGTAAAAATGTTTTGTGTAATCTACGGAAACTATGCTTATTCTCCTTGACAGTCAGTAAATAATCGTAAAAAACAGAGTTTGGTAGTAACTAGTTAAAAGTTAAAAGTTAAAAAACTAATTAAAAGTTAAAAAAAATTAAAAAGTTAATAACTTTTAATTTAGTTAATTTTAAATGCATTAAATTTTAACTTAACTAAGTTACTTTTAAACGTTAACTTTTTATTAAGTTAAAAAATTTTTTTATCTCTTTTAAATTTCTTAGAAAAATAATAAGATATAATAAGACTAAGGACGTATATTCGTAATCTGTTCATATTTTAAGACCATCTTAAGTAATTTCTTAAGATGCTAATACAGCTCTCTGATTAGTTTATGCGATTATGCCATAAATCTTAGTCCGGATTTACAATAGGTGTTTTAAACCTTAAGTCATAAGAAATTGACCAATTACAGTCAAATATTTTTCTCGCATTCGATTGTACTTCTTCAGGCTTAAGACTTAAAAATTAATCCCTGATCTTGTATCTTCTCTATGTGCTGGCTGTGTTATATAACTTATATAGTTGTATCGTTATGTGTTATATATTTATATCACATATGAATAAAAAAATTAAAAATTTACTTAATTTAATTTACTTAATAATCTATATTGTAGTTATTTAATCTCATTTTTAAAAAAATTAGGACATTATGATCTAAAAAATATTTTTGTTTTAAATTAACTTTTTTTTAACTTAAGTTAATTCATTATCGACTTACCTTACGTTAAATTAATCTTTTATTCCTTCAACTTTTAACTTAATTTTATTAATTTTGTAAAGCCATTAACTTTAACTTTATTCAGTTAAAAAAAACATTAACTTATCTAACTCTGGTAAAAAGTGATAAAAAGCAAATATAAGCAAATATAAAATGAAAATAAACTACATTGAATAAAAACACTTAATTGATTGTCAAGAGGGATAAGTATAGTTTTACAAATGTTTTAAAGCAATCTCATCATTTTGTTTTATCCAAATTGTCTTTATTTATAAATGTAATAAAAATTAACGTGTCATTCTTGCTTCTGATGTCACAATTTAATATAGCTGTGACTACTCAGGAGCTTTAAAGATGATAAAATAATTGATTGTTAAGCTTGCGTGATGAATGTTAGTGAAAATGACTTTTCTTTTTAGTCGCGGAATTCATAAATTAAATTGCAGAAGAATAACAGAAATAAATTGTTTTTCTCATTAATGAGAATCTTTTACAACTTTTTAATAAAATTCTTTCTTCATATTTTTATCAGAAATTGTCTATAGAAACTTCAAAAGAGCAATTATGTTATACTATTGCTGCTTCCGAAACTTAAGGCAGCTTTTGTCTTCTCTAACTCTACAGTTAGAGAATCTATCAATAATAAAAATACTTTATAATGCGTGAATAGCAGTGAATTTTATCCCGCAAGTATTGTGCGATGCAACAAGCGGCTGCATCTATAATGCAAACGCGGGCAGAATATTTTGCGGAAATCGATAGATGAGCTTGTAACGATGCGATACTTTCAGAGTATGTCATATCGATTGAAGTTACATTTGAAAAAAGTAATACCGCAAGAATCAGATTTATATTAAAGTATCACTCTTATAACGAGTCCAATTTTCGAATTCGTGACAAATGCGTTTAGAATTGTCATATATATTCGCTTGTCATATATATTCGTTAATATATATTTTTAAAAAATTATATAATTTGTCCCAAAAGTGAAATTTAATTTTTTATTTAATTTTTTTATTATTAAATTTTAATTTGTGCAATACGACCGCACAAATTAAATCGAAATAACGAAAATAATCAGAGTGATATTTTAGAAAAATATCATATGAAAATGTACAAAAATATTATTTTATTACGTTACGTATATTATAAATTTCCCTAACATTTTTATATGCAATATTTTTCAAAATTAAAATCCGTGGTGTTTCATAGGGCGCTTAGATAAAAATAAAAAGAAAAAAAATAAATGAAGATAAAATCCATTCTTATAAGACTCGGTCCATTGATGATTAATAATTCAAAAGTATGTATAAGTATTTTTCTGCTATCTCTTTTACACATGCTGTCGTCACATTGTATATCTGACAACTTATCACGTTTGCTAATTATCGTGATAGATCTCGTATTCGCATTTTGGGAGGGAAATATCAGCAATAAACAAAGCAATGCGAATACATTTAGATAAGCGCTCATGACCTCAGAATTTGCACAATCCAAGGAGCGTGCAAATATACACATGTGTCGAGATAATGTTAAATAATAATTTAACACGATAACGTCGTGTTATCAATTCAATATTATATCATTTTACTTTAACAACGATTATCGTATTATTATGATGTATTTAGATTTCACTAAAAAATTGACATTTTATGTCTTATTTATTGGATATTTATTGGATATTTAT